TTCCCGCCGCCTGCCTCCCCCTCTCCTCGGGCGCGAGCTCCGCCGGCGTCCGGTGCCCTTCAGCCCGGCCACGGCAGCCGGGACTCCGGCCTTCCCCTCGGCCAGCAGCCCGGAGCTCCCTAGCAGGAGGGCGGAAGACCCTACCCTTCGCCGCCGAGGGAAGGCGTGACAGCCGCAGGGGATGGTCTCCGGGGAAGAAGCCCATCCAGAGCAGCTCTCTTGAGACAAGACGAAGGTTTTCCACGAGTTCGAGAAAGGTGTGCCCGCAGCAGCTCCTGCTCGCCCCGGCTGCTCCGAGGGCAGCTGGCAGGAGCCGGACGGCGGAGCAGTGGAAATTTCCATAGGTGCTCCATCACGATTGCTGTACCAGCGCCAGGCGGGGGAGCTGGAGAGGAACCGCTCGTCCCGGGGCAGGCCCGAGGAGCCAGCTCTTCCCGGCACAGCGCAGGGACACGGGGTCAGCCGGGGGAGGTGCTACTCCGAGGGGCCAAGTACTGCCAGTTACCATTTTATTTCTAAAGGAGATTTGCCATGAGCTCAATTCTATCAGAGTATCTCCCGTAGCTTTGATATTTAGGAGAGCTCTTTTTTTACCGTTTTACGTGCAAATATTAAGAGGGCCTCCTACCTTACACTATGCAACACCCCCTCAGGGAACACCGATAAGACAGGCATTTGGAAACACCACAAGGCAAAAACATTCAAGACGTGGCTGTGGTTTTCAAGAGTTGTACCTTACTGGTTAACTGAAAATTTAAAAAAACCCCACAACTTCAGAAATAGTACTCCAGTAACCCACATTTCTAGAAGCAAAAGAGTCATAGCTTCCAAGTTTATAATTACTTCAGCTTCTAAAGGTAGCTGATTTGGCCACATAATTACACTGAAGTCCAGCAAGAATCTACAGCCTTGAAAAATCGGCGTTTCACTTCAACAAATCTGATTGGTGCTATTTCCCATAGCAAGGGACAAAGACTATTTGTCCTTTGCATCACTGTTAAATGTCTGTCAATGTTCAAGTTTTGAAACAAAAACAAGCTTTCCGTGCATTTTGTTTCAGGCAACTGACCTGGAAACTTGGCAATTAACAGGCCATATTTCAAAGATAAACAACCACCTTCTTGCTCCATGCTGAAGGCAAGGAAGGGGAATGTTGCAAAGCCAATGAAAAAGACTTTCCACATTCCTAACTAGAGTTTTAGACTCAAGTGTGGTAGTATTTCAGGACTCCAGCTGAAGTTCTGATAGCAACACTGAATGATCACAAAAGTACCATCACCTGACAGAACACCCAGATCAGGCAGAAGTACATAATTAAGAGGCAGGTTAGGCTGTGATTAAGAACACTACAAGCTGAGCCTCAGAGGAAAACAACCACCAAGAACTAACCACAGGCAAGTGTAAAAGAAATAACTGTGATTTGGGTTTAAAATGACCTTGACCTAGCTAGAATCATGCTTTGATTCTTGCAGACAGATTTAACCTTGAATACATTAAGCTGTAGTTAAGTATTGTTAAACTTGAAACTAATCATTGTTACTGATAAACAAGCAAGAAAAACTGAAAGTCAGTATTAACTGGAATTTTAATATACCATACTTGAAAGCATTAAAGTACTTTAACCCCAGGAGCAAGTATTATTTCAGCTATGCTCCTCATCAACGAGGTACAGGCAGTGCTTTGAGATTAAGTCATTTGCATGTACTACAAGTCTTGAAAAAAAGAAAAAAATCCACTAAGTTCATGGATCAGCAACAGCCCACTTCCCTCCCACCACTTCCATAAAGAAATCACTGCTCAATACAAGTTTAAGTATAATTTGAAGTTTTAATACTAAGATCTTCCCATTTCTCTGAAACTCATAGTAAGCCTGCATGCTAACTCACAAGGCCTGGCAGCTGCAGACACATTACACTCAAGCCTAGTCTGCACATTTGCTCCTGTGAAGGCAACAGTTACAGTGCTGCAAAAGCTTCCTACACTTGTAGCAGCTTATCAGCAACACCGCTGCAGTTTCAGTTAGCAAGACTTTTAGCTATACCATTACTCCAGCCGCTCTTTTCCAAACACTGGCCATAGGCTAGTGAGACAAGAGTACCATTTCCAACAGGTACTTGGAAGCCAGCTTTAGTTTTCTTCACCATCGAAGCAGAGCCTGCCATGCTAAGCAGTCTAGCCCAAACAAGGCAAGGCTGTTTTTTGTATAAGCTTAAATGTTTAGTCAGACACAGCTGAGAAACCTTTCTAGAATTTAATATAAAAACATCTGACATTCCATTAATGTAAAGTTGTGCACATTGAGAAAATTGCCATCTGAAAGAAAATTCGGTCTTCAAATATCTTTATTGGAAGGCCATGCACTGCCTTCTGTTACTGTATTTCAAATCACTGTACATTTACTTTGAAAACACTGTCTGCATTTTCTAGTACAAAAAACTAAAAATTGTTTCAGGAATGTAGAGAAATATTCAACTTAAATAGCGAAAAAGTGCACCATAATTACTGCTGCACTGCAGTCATTTCTGCATTTCCCATTTCTTAAATAACTATCCTGTTTTGATAACACACAATATAAAGAGCAATTATGAAAAACTGAAACATTTAAATACACTAATCTATTGAGAGTAACTTGTTGGCATTGGGTAACCTATCATAGGAGCAGCACCAGTGGCAGGATATGCATACTGCTGTTGGTTCATGCCATTGTGCATATTTGCAATATTACTTCCGTACTGCTGCTCATAGCCATTCTGGTAAGCTCCTGCAGGGTTCCCAGCCCTGAAGCCGGCCTGCATGCCTGCAGCTGCAAAGCCATTTCCAAATGGAGTTCCATTACTGAAACTTTGGGCACTGTAGGCCCCATTTTGAGTTTTTGCTCCAAAGTCTCTCTTTCCTAATGCACCATAGGTTCTCTCAAAGTTCTCCCTCTCTCTAAAACTACTAAATCCACCCCTTTTGCCCGCAGAATATCTGTCACGTCGATCACCTCGGGAACGACCTATTAAAAAAGACAAGACATAGTTATATATATCATAAGGGCTGCATTTTCCACACCACCAAATGAGTTCAGCTAATAAGAGGAAAAAAAAAAAAATCTTTCCTTCTGTCCCAGCAAGGCAAACCTACTACAGAAACTTCCCAGTTGCCAACTGGACTCTAGCCAGATGAAGACTATTTTGACAGAGAAAGCTGTCTAACCTACAAGGAGAGTCATACTCTCCCCGCTAACACAAGGGGTGGCATCAAGGCAAAAAGTCATTTTCATCCTGGCAATAGGACACTTGCGTCCATCCTTCCTAGCCCTATGAGAAAACGCCACAAAACTGAGCCCCAACGTGTTTTGTTTCAGAGCAAATACTCTGCAGTGCATCATCTTTGGCCAGCACCAGCCATAGGTGCACCACAACACAAGCACAGGACATTCAGGGAAGGGGGTGTTTTTTGTTCCTGTGTTAGTAAATACCTTTTCGGGTCACCATAACTGGTAGCTAAACCACCTTCAACATCCATTTTGGAGAGAGGTTGGAGGTGGAATTTGAGTTTCCGTTTTGTTCCAAGAGGAAAGCTACACACTGCAGTTGATGACAGTACTTACCTGAACCTCTGTCTTCAATCAACTGAAGCAATTTGGGGTTGATGGCTTGATTAGCCTCACGAAGCACAGAGATGAGGTCATTTACTTGCTTAATATTGTTAGGAGTAAAGAATGTGTATGCTGTGCCTGTTTTGGTACTGCGGGCAGTTCGTCCAATTCGGTGGATATAGTCCTCTGAGGAGTTAGGGTAGTCATAATTGATGACAAATTTCACATCTTCCACATCTGTAAAGTGTTGCAGTGTGGCAAAAAGCAAGGTACAAAGTTTTGCACACCACAACAGCCAAATCAAAGATAAACGTTAGACAATAGTACTTTAAAGGAAATAATGGCTGCAAAGAACAGTGTTAGAATTATCCATTTCTGCACGAGTATTGTGGAAGAGAAAGTTATGCACACTCCGTCTGTTCCCGTCTCATCACCCACCCTGTGATCCAAAACCTTACCATAAAGGAGTATGCATTTGCTTGTCATTCCCAACTCAAGAGTCCCCTTTACAAATCATCAAGTGACATCTGAATGCTTCTTGCAGTAGGGCCACTAAAGCTCACAGCAGCCTCTTCATGTGCTCATTTGAGGACCTTAGAGTAAAAACATACAAGGTCCTTCACATACACACTCATTAGAAGCTCAGAAAAAAAGGGGCCAACACTGCTCGTCTTGCCAAGACCTTTGAACCGCAGCTGCAAGAAAAACATACCTGTCCCCCCAAAGTCACCAAGTTGTTTTTATGCACTGTGTCTTGTCTAGGCAAGCGCTTCCAAGAAGCCAGGGTTCACTTGAGAATGTGTCTCTCTCTGGCAGGTCTCGACATGACGACTATGTATAGGTGGAGGAACTTCGACTTTCAAAGGCATTTGAAAAGCCATTGCTTTCCTGCCCCACTTGCTAAAGTGAGAGGTGGACTTTTTCTCAGATTTCATGTGCCAGTACTCACCAATTTTGTACAAGGCTTAGTACATTTTAAAGCTGCTCTCTCCATTTCATGGTTGAAAAAAATTTCATTGAACATTGAAGTTTGTAATTATTCTCTTCAACATTTCAGCAAACTCACTGAAATTCAAAGACCCACAGATCACAGCAGACAGTATGCACAAAACTAACAGTACTGCACCATGGCAAATCATGCAAAGCATGGAGAGAAGAGAAATACCAGGGCAAAGTGAACTGTGAATGAAACTGCTTCTTTCACGAGAGAACAGTTTACGGGGTAGTAGTTTAAAGGATGATCTTTGCCTTTTGAAGATTACTGGCACACAATGCTCTCAGCTTTCACCTCTCTATTTGACTGGAAGCAGCCAGCCGATCACTTCCACTAGTCCTCCATCCCCCTCGAGTCCTCCGATTGTCATGCCTAGGCCTTGCCACAAAGACTGCACCTTTATGTGAAGAAAACTTAGAAAAATGCAGAGGTTAAAGAAAGCAATAGACTTTCTTTAAATAGCTTTGGGCAACTGGCATTACGAGTTGTACTAACCTAGACCTCTGGATGCAACATCTGTAGCAATCAGGATTGGTGCTTTTCCATGTTTGAATTCTGTAACACAAACAACTCATCAGGTTCTTCATCAAGTACCACAGATCATACATGTGTAGAAACTGCTGAAGTACTCACCATTTAGAACCCAGTCCCGCTCCTGCTGACTTTTATCACCATGAATACCCATTGCTGGCCACCTGAAAACACAGAATTCAATTGACCTCAGGACATTCCTCTAATAGCCTCATGAGTCAGAGACAGGACTAGGGGGAAGGTGC